TGGGTTAAGAATAGTGATCGTCCGATAGTTCTCACATTCTAGTTTGTCGCCTTTTTAAGTACTGGGTACTATCATAGAGGTAACTCTAAGACCAGAAGGTCCCGGAGATACGTGCTCAACTTTTTGGCTCAGCTCTAGTACTCTCTTCGGTCCCAAGCTAATCGATGTACCCCTCGAAACATAAGAAAATCCATGAACCCCTCAATTTATCTGTCAAACTTTCATAGCAAATTAAAACAAACATAGAGTAGTACTTGAATTTCGACTAGAATGGGATATGCTAATCGTTTGCTTGGGACCAATAGGCTAGTCAAGCAGTGAGCCAATTTAAAATCGTTAGTTTCGAATTGATTGTTGGTACTATTACCATAGAGGTAACTCTAAGACCAGAAGGTCCCGAAGAAAAGAGCTCAACTTTTTGGCTCAGCTCTGGTACTATTTTCGGTCCCAAGCTAATCGATTCACCCCTCGAAACATTGGAAAATCTTCTTCTTCTTATTTCCTTTATATAACGTCGGTCTCTGTTCCGCAATCTAGTGCCAATCACCGACGGACATCGATTGCCATCCATTGACGGCAATCGAATGTGCAGGAAGGCAGCTTCCACACCTGCGTAGGATATCGCACTCATTCACAACACACATGGGCCGGGAACAACGGCTTTACTTCCCTTCCGAAGGAAGACGTGACCAGAGATTTTTATGCCTCAGAAAAGTCCCAACGACCTCGGCTGGGATTGAACCCAGATCCATTGGGGTGTTAGAAAGCAGTCACGCTTACCACTACCGATGTGTGGTATAAGAGGTGAGGAGAAAGGAAACTAGTGGACTCTTTCATTCTGACGGTGTTCTTATGCAACAGCAGACGTGACGTCACGTCTGTTGCTGCATAAAAAGACGCGAGAACGAAAGAGTCCACTAGTTTCCTTTCTCCTCACCTCTTATACCGCACATCGTACCACTACACATCCGGCGCCGGCTACATTGAAAAATCCATGAACCCCTCATTTTATCTGTCAAACTTTCATAGCGAATCAAAACAAACATAGTGTAGTACTGGAATTTATACTAGAATGGGGTACGTTAATCGATTTGCTTGGGACCAATAGGCTAGTCAAGTAGTGAGCCAATTTAAAATCGTTAGTTTCGTATTGATTGTTGCTATTACTCCCTCTTTCCACTCCTCCGGTAGCTGATCCTGACTATCAGTCGGTGCAGACAAGTGGCCAGCTTATCCGGGCCCATTTTAATAAGTTCCGCTCCGATACCATCTTTCCCAGCTGCTTTGTTGTTCTTAAGCTGTCGGATAGCATCCTTAACTTCACCTATCGTGGGAGCTGGCATGTCCCCCTCATCCGCTGTACCGACGAAGCCATTCTTCCTGCCGCCTTTGTCCTCCACCTCTGCGCCGTTCAGATGTTCATCGTAGTGCTGCTTCCACCTTTCAATCACCTCACGTTTGTCCGTTAAGATACCTCTTCCTTATCCCGACACATTTCGGCTCGCGACACAAAGCCTTGGCGGGATGCGTTGAGTTTCTTGTAGAACTTGCGTGTTTCTTGAGAACGATACAGCTGCTCCATTTCTTCGCACTTCAGCTCTTCCAGGCGGCACTTCATATCCCGGAAAAGATGGGTTTGCTGTCTTCGCTTCTGTTTATATCGCTCCACATTATGACGGGTTTCTTGCTGCAGCATCGCCGCCCGCGCTGCGTTCTTCTCGTCCAAAGTCGTCTGACACTCTTCGTCGAACCAATCGTTCCGTCGACTCCGCTCCGCGAACCCAACCGAGAACCCAACGGCACCTTGAGCAGCGTTGTTAATGGCTGCTTTCACGTTACTCCAGCAGTCCTCCTTCGGTGAGCTCTCCCTCATCCGGCAACGCTGCGTCGAGGCATTGCACGTACTCAGTTGCGATTTCGGGCAGCTTCAGTCGCTCCAGATGGTACCGAATGTTGTTGGCAACGGAAAGTTTTTGGCGCACCTTGACCATTAGAAGGTAGTGGTCCGAATCGATATTTGCGCCGCGATAGGTCCTGACGTCGATAATGTCCGAGAAGTGCCTTCCGTCCATCAAAACGTGGTCGATTTGCGATTCTGTCTGCTGCGGTGATCTCCAGGTGTACCGATATGGGAGACTATGCTGGAAGTATGGCCATGTTTTTAGAGGCCGTGTAATCGATGAGTCTAAGGCCGTTGGCGTTTGTTGGCCGGTCTGAATTCCTCCTCCTGGCCGACCTGAGAGATCTCCGATGACGATTTTGACGTCATGGCTTGGGCAACTGTCGTATTCCCGTTCCAGCTGCGCGTAAAAAGCGTCTTTATCGTCATCGTCACTTGCTAAGTGAGGGCTGTGCACGTTGATTATGCTGACATTGAAGAAACGGCCTTTGATCCTCAACTTGCACATTCTGCTATCGATTAGCCACCACCCTATCACGCGCTTCTACAATTCACCCATCACGATGAAAGCTGTACCCAGCTCATGTGTGTTGCCGCTGCTCTGGTAGATGGTATAACCAACAATCAATACGAAACTAACGATTTTAAATTGGCTCACTACTTGACTAGCCTATTGGTCCCAAGCAAACGATTAACGTACCCCATTCTAGTCGAAATTCTACTACTACACAATGTTTGTTTCGATTCGCTATGAAAGTTTGACAGATAAAATGAGGGGTGAGTGGATTTTCCAATGTTTCGAGAGGTGCATCGATTAGCTTGGGACCGAAAATAGTACCAGAGCTGAGCCAAAAAGTTGAGCACGTTATTTCGGCACCTTCTTGTCTTAGAGTTACCTCTATGGTATAACCATAGAGGTAACTCTAAGACCAGAAGGTCCCGAAGAAACGAGCTCAACTTTTTGGCTCAGCTCTGATACTATCTTCGGTCCCAAGCTAATCGATTCACCCCTCGAAACATAGGAAAATCCACTAAACCCTCATTTTATCTGTCAAACTTTCATAGCGAATCAAAACAAACATAGTGTAGTACTGGAATTTATACTATAATGGGGTACGTTAGTCGATCTGCTTGGGACCAATAGGCTAGTCAAGTAGTGAGCCAATTTAAAATAGTTAGTTTCGTATTGATTGTTGGTATAACCATCCGATGGGGACGACTCTATCTACGATGCAGGAAATATTGTGTCTTGCTGTGGCTAGCTGCGCGTACGCTGAGTAGATAGAAAGAAGATTTATCACGATTTTGAAGATTTCCTGCAAAAAGATGATGCGAGAAAGAGAAATGAAAGAAGATTTTTCGAAGATTTATTCGCTAGTGTGAGGTTTATTGAGCATCTAAATTTGAGATTTAGATGTGTCGTTCCCTCGTAACCATCCCTATACATATGTACCGACGATCCCTTCCAGCAAACCTCATGCAGCGCTACGATGCGGACCCTCAATAAATCGGAAAGAATGCGGGTACTTCCCAAGAAATTGAGAGGCTTGCAGTTTCCGTTGCTTGGGTACGAGCTTGGGTCTATGCCGATTGTTCCGGTCCGTATTTACATTGCTTGCTTTCTGTACTTTTTTTTAGGGCTGCTTATAGGGCCTGCACCAACCCCCATTGTCTCGCCGGGAGACCATCGTGCACAGCACTGTTTAGAGTCCCACGCTGGCACCAGGACGTTGATCAGCCTCTCCTAACATGGAGAACAGACGCCGCTTTGAACCGGTGAACAGACGCTCGAAGACTACACAGGAGTCCCCCCTTCCCTGTCAGCATACGACCAAGGTCCCACCGGGGTTCGTTACCCGATCTTCCCTATGGTTACTCGTACCCCAGCAGGCACCGCGGGTAGGTAGAGATAGTAGTTACTGGACAAGAGGCTAAGGACCGCTAGTGGGGTCTATTTTATACCTGCAGATACGCGAAGTATCAATGGTACGCATTGTCCAGCCGTTTACCAGCCAAATGACTAGAGCTAAGCCAAAAAGTTGAACACGTTTCTCCGGGATCTTCTGGTTTTAGAGTTACCTCAATCTGTCAATTTTGATCAGCTTCAAATTTGACGCTGACGCAGCATTGTGGGTCCCGTTTAAGAGTTTCGACAAATTGACGTTTGAATCTTTGTTCACAACAGCAGGTAGGGTAGAGCTGGGGTGGGACGTGCTGTCGAATCAGCCTACTGATCATTCTTGTATGAAATTGGTTCCAAACGTAAACAAACCCTGTAGGTTCCTTATGCCTTGTTTACGTTTGGAACCAGTTATGCGAGGTAGGCGACGATTGTTCGTATTTGACAGCCACCTCCCCCCCCCCCCCCCCTCCCCTTGGGGTATAGAACTACTTCGGCCTAATCGCCCATTTTGGGCCTATCGAGCAGAAAACTTCAAATAAATCCATGATTTCAGAGTTAACAAGACAATTATGCGTTTGAACCGATACTTTAGCTAATAAGCTAACGAACGAAGTCAATGAGAACGCGTGATATGAAGGTTTGCACCCATTATTCCCAAAAACAAAAGAAGCGCTCCGACCGAATCATGTTTTATCTTTATCCGATAGACCGAAGTGAATTCATTGGCGTTTCAATGCGTTAGGCCGAGTATAGAATCCGTAGGCCGAGTTTGGCGTCAAGAAGCAGTGCTAGACTTTTGACAATATCTCAGCGATTGGTTTCTCTTTATCAAATCTTGCGGTACGTACGGAAAGGTAAATAAATTTGGAAGCCATCGGTTATAATAACATTCCATTTGGTGCTAAACTGCGCTAGATTAAGAAATACTATGTGCGGGTTGTGCTTAAAGGCCGGAAATAGGGTAGTTAACCCTACCTACGTCTGTTTTTTAAACCAACCGTTAAATGAGTGAAGGATGAACAACAGGCAGAGTGTTATGTCTGTATGTATGTGATGTTGTCATTCATAAGCATAAGCAGCATAACATTTCAGTTGCCTTTCCATGCTTTTCTGCGCATGCGTTCGAAACATGCCAAACTATACCGACGAAGTAGGTAAATATTCATCCGCATTCCCCACAAAATAAATCAGCTGACGGTCAATACCCATTTCCACTTCCTTCAGGATTCTTCATAAATCACAGTCCTGTTACTCGTATAGCAATGAATATCACATCCAGTTTGAATCCGATCGACATAAGGAACATAACCACCTGAGAAGATGATCCGTTTCTCACTGTACAAACTGGTTATGTTGATATTTTTCATCTTTGTGTTCTGCTACATAGCCCGGTGGCAGATTATTTTACATAATGGCAACGAGACACACCTCCAAAGGTTTCTACACACATGCAACGTCTCAGAAACGTACCGGAGCGAGCTGGAGCATTTGTTTCATAGGTAATTCCTGTACCTACGTCGCAGAATAGAAACCAGAAACTGATTCGCTTGAGTTTTTGCTTGCAGAGTTCATGAAATCCTGGAACATCAAGGCGTGACACACATCCTCTGCTACGGAACGCTATGGGGGCAGATTAGGATGGCCAAGATGTTGCCCTGGCGCAAGAAAGCTGAATTTTGCTTGTTCAACGAAGAGTTGATGGCCCGTGAGGAGGCTCGCTTTCTCCGACACTTCTACAGCAATAATCTCAAAATCTACTACATCCACTCGGAAGGACTTTATCGGATTTTCTCGGAGAACCCAGACGAGGGTCCCTACGTGGAACTGGTAGTCTTTCAACGGGATGATGCGGTAGTGTGAAGATGAAATACAGTTTCAATTCTAGCAACCAATTCAAATTACGAATCGTTTCAGCAAAAAATGTACAAGCGAGTGGGCTGGAAACGGCGCCTGATGCCTCCGCACTGCGACTGGACGCCGTCCTTGGATTGCTTTCCGATACATCTGCTGGAGGCTTCCCTACCGCGTAGGAAGCTCGGGCGTTTCTTCTACAGTGTGCCAATGGGTGGAATCGAGCTGCAGAAGTATCATTACACGCAAAACTGGTGGAAGGATATTCGGGTGTTCAACTGTTAGGAGTTGTGATAGGGCGGATTTGTGCTGTGCTACTAAATATAATGAGATACATTTCAACAAATTACACTATATTATGTAATAAAGAATCAAAGAATTAAGTTATAAAACAAGGAATGCTAGTGGATATTTCGTCCTTCCCTTTGATGATGTCTAGTTCTGCCCATGTGTTTTCACGCTGCGGAAACATTTCACGAAGCTTGCCTAATGACATTAAACTTCACGTTAAGTTTAGTTGGGACAACAACCTTTGTTGATGCTGAGGACTCACGGTCGATCAGATGACACTAAATTGAGTAGAGTCAACTCAATTCGTCAGAAGTGAGCAAATCCATTTTTGACGAATTGAGTTTAAAAAACCAGGGAATTCCATGAATATTTTACTCAGTCTAAGAGTATACTAATGGACTGAGTGAACCTTTATCAATTTTCCCCATATTCGCGCCGTTTTTTATTAATATGCCCGGAAAATTCCTATCACTCAATAAATTTACTATTGCCGAAATTGAGCTGACTGCGGGGATCTGAACGAGCGTGTACCTTTTAAGAAATATCACGGAAAACAAAAATAATGCATTAATGATTCATATTTAATCATTTTCAGAAGAATGTCAGTTACTTGTTCATCGTATTAATTTTAATCAATGGTTTTCTAACCATTATTGGTGAAAAATAATACAGAAATGGTTAAAAAACTTAACATAGGGGAAATGAGTGTAATGTCGGCCTAAATGCCCCTAATTTGGGCCCATGCATACATTCAGCAATCGACTCAATTTTCAATAGCGACCAAAATATCCATTAGTACCGTCGCAATGACGCGTTCATCTATATATAATAGATAAATAGCAGATTTTTAGAAATGGACCCAATCTTCCTCTAAATGATTAAAATGTATACGATGTACAAATAACCGAAATTTTTCTGAAAATGATAAAAATGAATCATTAAAGGTTTGTTTTCGTTTTCCGTGTTCGCTTTCAAATTTTTCCTCGATTTAAGGTGACAGAATTAATGCATGGACCCTAAGCGCGTGAAATCATCGACGAAATTTTACGAAAGCAGTTCCGTTCTTTTGAAAGTTCATGTAGAATGTTTATGTTGGCCCTGTTTTGGGCAATAAGGTCGAAAATTAATGCTTTCCCTAATAAATGGGTACCATACTCTAACGATATCATAGATGGTACGACTATCCCACATAAAGTTGGGATGATATCCCGAATTGGTGGTTAGGCGCTTCTTATGGTTATTGTTTATGCGGGTTTACCCTTGAAGTTTTTATAGAATTAATTATTAATGATAGAATTTTAAAGTTAGCCGTTGACCGTGTGTCGTCCGTTTATCTACACTCGGGTCAATTTCAGAAGACATCTACTGAACTGTTTTTTGTTGGCTTACTAACGTGCGGGGATGGCCCGGTGCAGTTGTATACATCCATCACTCTATACTCACGAGTTAAAATCTTATTCCGAGCAAGTCGTAAAAATAATCCAAGAGTGTTAGCCGTTAGTAATTATAATAACTGACATTTAACTTGTCTATGGGCCTTATTACGGGTGTCACTACACGGTGATAAGGAAGTGATACTCAGAATAAGAGCCGTGATTGCCGTACAAATCAAATGGTAATCACTTATCACTTCACCGTGACGACAAGTGACAAGTTTTCACCGTGAAGTGACTTCCGTAATAAGCCCCTATGATTTCTCCAAATATCTGGAACAGAGTATTCAAAATTTGTAAAAATTACTGGTTCATTTTACATTCAGTAGAAACTACTGAATACACCATATACCATTACGAGATAGCATGGCCGTTAAACCTAATTATTAACTTAAGCGGGACTTTCTTTAGTGTGGGGTGAATAAATTCGACGTATTTGTACAGTTATCAAATCATGTTTTGTATTTTCCTGGTATCATTTTAGCTCACAGAGCTGACGACAACATGTACGATGTTCCGTATTTTCGACTGTTTAACCATTAGATGTTCATGTTCCTTAACTTCACAACTTCTCATGCCGACTCGCACAATACTAGAAGCTTACTCGGCCTTCTTTGGAGCGGCAGCAGCTGAGCTTCCGGCACCGGTGGCAGCCTTGCCCTTCTTGGCCGACGCAGGTCGCTGCGATCGTAGGATGGCGCTGGCACGACGTAGAGCAGCCTGACGCAGATCCCGACGGTAGCGGTTCGCGTTGACGATATTCTTCAGCTTCTTCAGCGAACGACGTGGGCGGTGCTTCAGCGTCACCTTAACGGTAGCCTTGGATGGCTTGTTCTGCAAAGAACAGGAACGAGAAACAAAATTATTAGAAAACGTTCACCTGTTTACACGATACACTACGCAGAACGATTTTATCTTGTATCAGTATTGGGTAGTGGACGTAGTCAATTCATAGGACTTTCAGTAAGCCATTTTCCTCACGGAGAGCACAAAACGTTAACGGATATTATCAACACAATGGGTAAACATACCTGGTACTTTGGTCGCTTGTACACAACTTGGACACCCTTATCGGCCGGGACGACTCCTAGGGTCTTCTTGTGGACCAGTCCGCTGTAGCGGTACGAGCTCAGGTTGGTCAGGTTGTTGGCCTCCTATAAAGAAGTGTTCGTATCTATGAGAATGAGGAAAAGCTGTTATCGCGTTGAATATTCTCTTAGGTAAACAACGATCAGAATTGTGTCCATTATTGTGCTGGAACGAAGCACGTGGAAGCGATCAGAAGTAGCAAATGTTATCTTCAGAACTATTCCGGAGGAACGTTCAGAGATCTTGGTGGTAAAGTGTATCATCATAGAAGTGCTTCCAGGAAAACACAATTCCGATTCACGTTCAATGGGGGGGAAGAAATAGTAAAGGAGTCGAACTTACCGTGCTGAATGGCTTATTGATGTTGCGGCGCTTCAGCAAGAAAGCGTTGTGATCACGGATGATCAACCAGTTCAGATGGGAAGATGTATCGGCCATTTTTGATTACCTGTAAAACAAAAATTAAAACAGAACACTTTATTCAAACGCACTAAATAGGTCAACTATTAAAGGACATCAAAAGGAATCGAAACATTTGAAGGAGAAATGCAATTCGAAGATGGCGAACTCCGCACAAACACGTTGCCAAAGCTGATTATAAAAATCCTTTCAATTAAAACTCACTTTCTGCTATCAACTGAAACCTTCATCAATATTAAGCGAAATTAACAGCAAGGCTAACATTATAACTATTTGAACAACTTTTAACTTCACAATTTCTCCTTCAAATTCAAGTTTTCAGCACGAGCGATAGAGCACAACTCACCTACTTGCGTTGGCTGACAAGATGGAAAAGACTCGTTTGGTGACAGCGATCCACAACATTTGCCGACTCGGGTCAGAAAGCGGAAGTGAGGAAAAAGAAGAACTTGAAAGAAAATTATCAACACCGAAGGCATTGTCAAGCAAACTGTCAGAAAACGTAAACACGCGATGTTTGCGATGTATTTTGCAACCTCTCGACCAACAATTGAAAAGGGCCTATCAGCTTTTTAAACAAAGCTTGAATGCGCTTTCCGAGACGCTTTCCTCGTAAAGCGTTGGCCGCCCACGCTAAAAAAACAGCCCCATCGGATTGGAAGATTGCCGTAAAAGCTCAACGCAGATGTCGCCACTGCATGATGATGATAATGTTGACAGACTGCATATAAAATTCGTGAAAATTAGCATTAAATCATAATTTTCATCAAGCCTACGTGAAATCCTTCCAATATAACATTCGAATTGAAGAAGAAAACGTTTTTACGATCAGACTGATGTGCATCTTTGACTTTTCCAGTTGAACTTTCATAAGATATATTCATTTCATTTCGCGGCTCCATCAATGCTGCATCGTAAATATGATGTAAACAGAAGTAAATTGCTCAATTACTCAAAATAAAGATGATTTGTCATCTTGTTATCACATTGAAGACCATCTAGCACCATTTTATAGTATGGTGCGTGTTGAGTAAAGCAAGTTCCGTTGCGTTTTCCGTCGAAAATTGTGAGTATCAATATGTTTGCTTAGAAAAGGCCAAAATGAACATTTATTGAATATTGGCGTCCTATACAACCAATTCAAGAGCAAATTTTCATTATGTCGTAAGTAACATTCGCACCAATCCGAGAAAAATAAAGTTTTGTTTTGATGACCGAAAATTTATTCCTATTTCCAAGTAAACACATACACAGATAGAAATCTCCTTATACCTTTTGGCAAATATCTATTGCTGATTATTCATAAAATGTATAAGTCAACTAATAAGCTGACGACTTGCAAAAAGTTAATGAAGATCATGTGTCAAATGAGATGTATAAGCGGTCACACATACCTTTTATGCATTCTATTTATTTATTTCTACTTGTCAACAGATAAAATAGTTACCCTAATGACAATTTTCTATATCTAAACCTCGATCTAAACATCAAAACTGCTTCAATATCAAAGATTCTTATAGGACCCATGTGGTTTGTCTTATGCGTCTTATGGAATGTATAAGGCTGATGTTTGGCAAAAATGTATAAGTGAAACACATGAATAAAATAATTGATTTTCGTTTCGTGTATAATCTCATAGTGATAACAATGTTTAACATATTAAGCTAGCTTTCATGCTAAAAATACTGGTTTTTGTTTGAGTCAAAAGTTATTATACGTCGTTTGGTGGCCCCTATTGTTACTTAAGTCAAAGTGTATTTACCAGGATATTCGGGTGCAGCCCATTCATCATTTTAGGACCACCGAAATCATCTTAGCAACAAAAAGTTCGATTTATTCACTTTAATAATGAGAAAGCGAAACGACGACCGTACACTTTTCACGGGTTTCTCAGCGCTGTTACTTAAGTCAAACGGCATCTTCATAGAAATTGGGTGACTTAAGTAACATCGAAAACTATTTTGATGGGAAGGTGATTACGTCAAAAAGCAATTTGACTGGTAAATAAATTTGAAAATGGGATTTGATCCTATATTCGGACAGTATATAGTGTAATAGCAGGAGAATCGATTGACACTGATAGCTCGACTTTGTTTACCTTTGTTACATTCGACGTAATGAAAATTTGCTCTTGAATTCTCCATTACCACCAGCATGATACAACCTTTCCTAAGTAAATTAACTTAATTTCCACTTTCATCTTAGTGGAAATCGCACATATTCACCATTTTCCGAAAAATGTAGCTGCGCAGGAGGTAGTCTCTCGCTGTGGGTGCAAACTTGTTATGCTATATTTTCCATGAAAACCTCTCCGATCCATACCGAAATAATAATTGGTTTTCAAACACGTTTTCTTACACGATTCAAGCAAAAGTTTCCACGGGAAATTATTAGTTTTTCTTTATGGACCGATTTGCCCCAAATATCGTCTGTTTTACTTGGAAAATTTGGAAACTATCCTCCTTCTAGTAGTTATCACTTCGAAATGTAGGAGGCGAAAGCTTGGAAAAGTTTCACTGCAAGACGCCAATAGGTGAAACTTTTTCCTACATGATGATGTTGTTGATTTGCGTGGGCGGCCTACGCTTTGCGACAAAAGGGCTTATACCCCGTTCACATTACAGCGTATAAAGGGTGATACGGTCAAAATTTGGTCAATATCAACTTGACGTATTTCTTTCAATTTTGCATTTAAAAAACCTGAACACCCCTCATTTTGAAGGTGTGTGTGTGTAGAATGTTGCTCCTATTTTGATTTTGGAATTCACTCTTCAGTTGTCAAAATGCCGTCCAAGCAAGAAGAGCAGCGTATCAAAATTTTGCTCGCGCATCGCGAAAATCCGAGCTACTCGCACGCAAAGCTGGCAAAATCGCTAAAAGTTGCCAAATCAACCGTTACAAATGTAATTAAAGTGTTTGGGGAACGTTTGTCGACAGCCAGGAAGTCTGGATCGGGGGGAAATCGAAAACCGGAAGCCGCTGAGACGACAAAGAGAGTTGCCGGTAGTTTCAAGCGAAACCCTAACCTCTCTCTCCGAGATGCCGCAAATAAGCTGGGTGTATCGTCTACAACCGTGCATCGAGCCAAAAAACGAGCCGGACTATCGACTTACAAGAAGGTAGTGACTCCAAATCGCGATGATAAACAAAATACTACGGCCAAAGCGCGATCCCGGAGGCTGTACACGACGATGCTGACGAAGTTTGACTGCGTGATAATGGACGACGAAACCTACGTCAAAGCCGACTACAAGCAGCTTCCGGGACAGGAGTTTTATACGGCAAAAGGAAGGGGAAAGGTAGCAGATGTTTTCAAGCACATGAAACTGTCAAAGTTCGCAAAGAAATATCTGGTTTGGCAAGCCATCTGTACCTGTGGCTTGAAAAGCAGCATTTTCATAGCTTCCGGGACTGTCAACCAAGAAATTTACGTGAAAGAGTGTTTGAATAAACGTCTGCTGCCTTTCCTGAAGAAACACGGTTGTTCCGTACTGTTTTGGCCGGATTTGGCATCTTGCCATTACGGTAAAAAGGCCATGGAGTGGTACGCCGCCAACAACGTGCAGGTGGTTCCCAAGGACAAGAACCCTCCCAACACGCCAGAGCTCCGCCCAATTGAGAAATACTGGGCTATTGTCAAGCGGAACCTAAAGAAGACCAAAAAAACTGCTAAGGGCGAGCAGCAGTTCAAGGCAAACTGGCTTTCTGCGGCGAAGAAGGTGGACAAGGTGGCTGTACAAAATCTGATGGCAGGGGTCAAGCGTAAGGCCCGGCAATTCGGATTTGGAAAAGCGGAAGCCTAACTGAATATTTTTCCTGAATTTTATACTAATTTAACTTGAAAAAGAAATTTAATTTGATTTTTTAAATAAACGATTTCACCGATTTACACGCGTTTTCCCTTGACCAAATTTTGACCGTATAACCCTTTATCACGTGATATGCGCTGTCTTGCAATGAGCACTCATACATCTAGTTTTCACTGGAAATCCCTTGCAAGACAGCATATATTATCACGTGATGTGATAGCATACGAGCAGCACAGAGCAATCCAGAGTAACTCTGAGGAACTCTCTTGATCTCTGATGAACGGTTGTATTATCTCGATTTTTTTGACAGCGCAGCCCAAGCAATCACATTTATCGGAGTTTGAACTCGCAGGACTTATCCTCAAGTACATGCCCTCACCGGAGCTGGTTGCTGGAAGGGAATATCTATCTATTCACTTACTCTAAGCATCTTGATGCTCAGTAGTATTAAGGTGGCAATATCCTGTACAATTTCATTACCACTGCAAAACGAAAAGTGTCCTCCAAAAAGCCATCACCCGTGATTTAAGGAAATAGCCAAAAACTCTATGACAAATGCAACGGAACAGTTTCTGATTGTAAATCCTAAGTTCTCACCAGCAGCAGTCCAATCTATTAAAGGACATCAAAAGCAATCGAAACATTTGAAGGAGAAATGCAATTCGAAGATGGCGAACTACGCACAAACACGTTGCCAAAGTTGATTGTTAAAAATCCTTTCAATTAAAACTCACTTTCTACTATCAACTGAAACCTTCATCAATATTAAGTGAAATTAACAGTAAGGGTAACATTATAACTATTTAAACAACTTCTAACTTCACAATTTCTCCTTCAAATTCAAGTTTTCAGCACGAGCGATTGAGCACAACTCACCTACTTGCGTTGGCTGACAAGATGGAAAAGACTCCTACCAATTAACCCAACAAACAATGTGTGCTGATTAAAGGCTGAATAAGCTATTTTTTAGCTGAAGAAGCATATTTCTGCCTGTATTAGCTCTTATTCTGCTTCCAATGTTTGTTGGGAATTGCAAGTTGCACCCATTGCTTGGTCCTTCTTCCCAGGTGGCACATGCCCATTCATCGTCTTCCTGTAGCGGGAGGGTCAATGCCCGTGTCCAGGACTAATCTGCACACCAACAACAGCAAAGGAGTCGCAGGGGGATTTGTCATTTTCAGCGTTATGTTATGGTTGAGGTCCTCAACTTGAGGATATGACCAATAATCAATACGAAACTAACGATTTTAAATTGGCTCACTACACAGCAAAAAAAAGTAATATCGATCAATGTAATTCAAGCTGATGTATGAAATAATGATGTAATAGCAAAAAGCAAATACAATATTACCAACAATCAATGCGAAACTAACGATTTTAAATTGACTCACCACTTTAGTAGCCTATTGGTCCCAAGCAAACGATTAACGTACCCTATTCTAGTCGAAATTCTACTACTACGCAATGTTTGTTTTGATTCGCTATGAAAGTTTGACAGATAAAATGAGGGGTTATTGCTTTTTCCTATGTTTCGAGGGGTGAATTGATTAGCTTGGGACCGAAGAGAGTACCAGAGCTGAGCCAAAAAGTTGAGCACGTTATTTCGGGACCTTCTAGTCTTACAGTTACCTCTATGATATTACATCAATGGATGTAATTTTGTTCGCAAAATCGATGTACATCGTACAACGTTATATCATAGAGATAACTCTAAGACAAGTAGGTCCCGAAGAAACGTGCTCAACTTTTTGGCTCACCTCTGGTACTATCTTCGGTCCCAAGCTTGTCGAATCACCCCTCGAAACATAGGAAAAACCAATAACCCCTCATTTTATCTGTCAAACTTTCATAGCGAATCAAAACAAACATTGCGTAGTACTAGAATTTCGACTAGAATAGGGTACGTTAATCGTTTGGTTGGGACCAATAGGCTACTAAAGTGGTGAGCCAATTTAAAATCGTTAGTTTCGTGTTGATTGTTGGTTATATTGCACAACCGATGGATTTTTTTTCTGTGTACTTGACTAGCCTATTGGTCACAATCAAACGATTAACGTACCCTATTCTAGTCGAAATTCTACTACTACGCAATGTTTGTTTTGATTCGCTATGAAAGTTTGACAGATAAAATGAGGGGTTATTGCTTTTTCCTATGTTTCGAGGGGTGAATCGATTAGCTTGGGACCGAAGAGAGTACCAGAGCTGAGCCAAAAAGTTGAGCACGTTATTTCGGGACCTTCTAGTCTTAGATATGATTGCCAGCAGAGTTGATAATAGAAGAGTTAAGTCCGGACAGTAGTCATCAGGCCACTGACAAGGCCTATACCAACAGCAGCGTTTGACAGTATGCAGCATGTCCCGGGCTCAAATCATTTATTTTGCTATGCTGGGCCCGCTGTCACGGTTTGACATGTTGCCTACGCGCCTGCCACTGGGCTGGTAGTCATGGATGGCACAACAGTTGAGTGGGAGGAACAAGGGAAAAACTGGTAGAAAACGAGATCATTTCCATTATCTAAGGACACTAATGACGGAATCCATTTTCTACACAATTTGGTTTAACTACTTTGCAATTTCACGGGCACACATCTGATAATCTACTTAATGAACAAAGTTCAAAATTAATCTACATGTCTGCTGCAGAGAGGCAAGCATTTCATTAAATTTTCCCACCTGTATGACTTCTGGATGGCCAGTGCTAGTGAAAACGCGAAGTGGAGGGATTCATGAACCTTAAATATTGCATCCGAACTAACATTTACATGGTCAGATTTCAATGTCTATATGCCAAACTAATTCTGTTTTTGTCGCAAATTAGATCAGATCCCAGAGCAAACCAGAGTAGCTCTGAGCAACTCTGAGTACACGAGAATTTGAGAGGTACTCAAATGAAAGCCATCTTCCCCCTCGATTCGATACGATTAAACTGAGTTTAATGCGAGAGGGCGACACATCTAAATCTCAATTCTAGATGCTCAACAAATCTCTTACTAGCGAATCAATCTTCGAAAAATCTTCTTTCATTTCTCGCATCTACTTGCATCGCGCATAATATTTTTGCAGGAAATCTTCAGAATCGTCATCAATCTTATTTCCTCGCTTTTTTCTATCTACTCAGCGTGTGCGCAGCAAAGCACAGCAAAACACAATTTTCCCTGCATCGTAAAAAGAGTCGCCCCCATCGGTTTAATGTTAAATTGATGAAATTTCAAGCAAAATGGGAATAGTTTAATTTATCAGTGAATTTACAAGTTGACAAATAGACACATATGTCACCACTGATTGCATATGCACTGGCATTTTTTTCATCCAACTCAGAGTTATTTTCACTCAACGCAAGCTTTATAGTAAGTTACTCAGCGTTGAGTAAATTGTGGCTCAAAAAATTTCAATTTTTTATGTATTACTCAACCGTTGAGTTAAAATTAACCATCAAAACACATTGATTTCTATATGGGACACACGAAGAATCGAAACAACTCAAAATTAAGTCATTTTTGTGCTCATCTTGACAGCTAAGTGAAACCAGTCAAAATTGAGTTGTTCGCGAAGAATCTTACTTTAAGTACTTTGTGAAGACTTCGCTTTGAGTAACATGTACCTGTTCTTAGTTTTAATAAAATTAGGCGGAAACATTGTTTTTTTTTAAGAATTTTCTTGAATGTATTGATCCCGTCATCTAAAATCAATCATTGTTATTTTATTCCAGCGTATATATAGAGTATACATTTAATTATATCTTCCATAATCAATATTAAATGCGTCCTTGATCTGAGGGAAGCTTTTAGTCACTTTCTTCAGCAGTTTGCCACAGTCTGCCACATACACGGAACCAAATTTTGTTCATTTAAGTTAAAAATATATATGTTTATTAAATAAAAATATGAATAGTTCAAAGTAAATTACAAACATGTTCTCAACAAAAATATGTATGTTTAGAATAAATTCAAAAGCATGTTTATTTCAACAATACATAACCTGGGTAATCAATTTTTAGCGTGTCCTTTTTTCCTTCTTGTTTACATTCGGCAAACTTAACCGAAAACGGCCTGCAAGCGGCGAAACCGAAGTAGAGGGTCCGGAAACCCACGCAATGTTCCAAGCTCGACAAAACCGGTGGAACATCACAATATTAACGGCAATCCGTCGTTTCTGATACCGATCCCCATATCATCCTCACCCCCCACCCGACGTCGAAAGAAAAACAGATCATCCCCGAACACTAAACGTAGAAAGAGGCCGGTATGAGGACCAGCGTCATAAACGACAAAATGACGCTAATATCACAAAGTTTCACCAGTTTTACTGAACTGGATCGGATCGGACACCCACCCCGACGGCCCCCCGGATCCAAACATCCACAGACTTTCCATAATCGCAGGAATTTCCATTAATTTGCTATCCATTTTATTTTGATTTATTCAGCATTCAAATGCTAAAATAATTTCAAAATATGTTTGTTTATTTTAAACATGAAAAGCATGTTTAAAATAAACATATTAATTTTTGATTGCATATAGTTTTCAAATAAATCAAAAATATTCACGTTTATTTTCAACACGAATATTTTTAAAATAAACGTAACATTATTTTTGTTTTAAACATTATTATCAATGGATTCAAACGTAGAATACGTTTGAAATCAACCTAGTTTATTTTTGTGGCCAGAACAAACTGAATTTACGTTTAAATTTACCTCAAATATTTTTGTTTCGACGGTAATTTTTTCTGCGTGTAATTCAGTAGTATTCGGTTCTTGTCCAGTCCGTAGGTGAATGCCGCAGATCTTTTAAAAGTCGTGGATTCTGAAAAGTTTGCAAACGAGGGAAGATTTAGCAAGTGTTTTTATTTCATAATTTACAAACATACCGAGTAGTGCAAAAGTTAAGTATGATTCCACATCCGGATTATGGCTTCCGAAGCACCCGTTGTCAATATAGTCGCTATATTCATAGTCTGGCGGATAGAATCTCGGGAACCAATTGAGCTGTCAAATAGCGGAACCAATCGAGCAAATCACGATCAACAACAGAAAAGAGCACATCAGTTATTGCGAACAAAACTTCGGAACCCCTTTTCTCGTGACTCAAGACTCACCTACGCAAATTAATACCATCTTTGGGTTGGGGAAAGCTTCTCCTATCCGATGATGCTGGTAATTTGCGTTCGATTGGCGAGGAAAGAATAATCAACGTTTTGTTTATAAAAGTTGATAGAACCTTTTCAATTGTTGGTCTACAATATATTGAATTGGTTCTGCTTTTTGATAAATCGAAATTCTATTCGCCAGACTATGAATTTAGCGACTATAGTTGTCAAGCCGTTGCATTAGTTAGGACTTTTTGGACGAAGAAATATATTTTACTTTAGATGTTTGGACATTAAATTACCTTCAGCAAACAAACCACTCCCTTGCATGCTTCTCCACATCCGTAATCCATGATTACCGATAATTTAGGTATGTGCACTTTCTTCGATTATCGGTCATTTTTACCGATATCTAGGTATTCTTTACCGACTTTTAGGTATGTGCATCTTAGCGGGACAGCCAATGAGAAACTTTTCCAATTTTTAGTCAAATTTGACTCATTTACTGAGCTACTCTCATTAGCCGTGAGCCAGATAAACATCGCATAGCGCGCAGCCCTAAAAAGTTCCGTCAAATTGACAACTCATCTGCCAAAACATTGCCCCTTTTCGGCCAAAACGTCAGAACGCCACTGCGCTCAGTAAAGGAGTGTGTGCTATTTGCGTCCGTCCGCAGACTGGTGTTGGTGTCGGTGCACTTGAACGAAAGCGACCAGTCGTCCTCTGCCTTCGTTCGGTTCGTTCGATTCGCCATTCATTCTTTCAGCCAGTCAGTCAGGTTCAGTTTTTAGTTAGGTCTCGGTCTTTCTCCCCGTTGCGTCGAAAAGTTCAAGAGTGAAAAAGTTGTTGATTGATTGCTGAAGAAAATAAGTGCTGTCTGAAAAAGTGCAGAATTTAATCGGTTTTTCGTTTTCGGTGAATGTGTGTGTCCCGTTTTTCTGTCGTTTCTGGTGAAGTTAAACAGCGGTGAAGGTGTGAAAACTTCAGACAAGGGGGCGGTGTATTTTTCAGAGTGAAAAATCTAGATTTTCCTCCCCTTCGGATGTCGGAAGGTGGATAGAAGTTGCTGCTTTTCGCAAAAGGATGTGATTTTTCTGTTTGTGGTTGTAGAATAACGTTGATAACAAAAAAGAAAGCAGTGTAGAAAGTTTTCGTTGGTGAAAAATCCATTTTGTCTCTGGTTTTTTTTTTTCCGAGTCCGGATCGGTTGGTGGAACATCAGTAGCGAGAGGAGGAAGCAGGCGAAAGTGGAAACAGTACGCGACGGAAGACTGGTGATCGAAGTTGAGGAAAAGCTTCCGAATCAGCAAAACAAGCAGAAGCAGAAGAAGAAAACTTTGGATAGGCAGCAAAATGGGTGAGTGGAAATCCGTGTCTCGTCGTCTATGTGTTCATGATAAAATTTTGCTGCAGAATTCGGGTGGGTGAAGAAAGGAAAAGGAGATGGTGAATGCGGAAAAGCCGGCTGGCGAAAGAAAATCCAAAATGTCGAACCTTGGTGTCCTGAATGGGAACGTTGAATGACACAAATCAATTCTTGGAGCGCTCGCGGTGGATTAGCTAGCAGAGGGAGGGAATGTCTGAATTTTCCCGAATGGCTTCAAAGATGAAAAAAATCCACCGATGAAGAACGCGCAAGATATACAAGAAATGCAGCGAAAAATTCCTGTTGGATGTTTTTGCTTTCCGTCTGCTTTTTGGGCGTTGTCCCCTTCCCGTGTACCATGGTCCGTGTTTCTAATTTTATAAATAAATATATTAAAAGGCAACCGCCGAAAGCATGTGACGAACCGGCTGGGAAGACGAATACGAAGACAACGGCCACTAAGACCAAGGGGGTGGGCGGTGGTGCAGTCGCAGGTTCAGTAGTGTCAGCTGCAGTAGTAGTACGGCACAAAGGGGGAGGGAGGAAAACGTCCAATCTGTGTGAGTGTTTTCCCTCCCCCTGGGGTCCAACCGGTGTGTTAGTGTGCTGCATGATGAGGAAAATGCAGTGGAAGCATTTGGGTTCTCGCACTCCTTTTCCTCTGGTTGTCGATTATCCGCGGCCTTTGGTACCGCAAAATAAAGAAGCGCTGGAAGATTCCGTTATTTGTATTTTATTTTTTTCGCCATAACGTTACTGCTCTGCCAATGCATACAGTTTGAACCTCGCCAAGACACCCATTCTACGGTGTTGGTGGTGGTGGTGGTGCTGCTGCTGGTGGTTGAGCTGGTGTTTTTCTAATCTTATCTCGTCGTTCCACACCGCGGATGGATGATGGGAGCAAATTCCTTCCATGTGCGGTTGGTAACTGTTTTGGTCCAAAGTGTTGGCTTGTTTGGTGAAAAAATAAAAATTTCGGCTCGTTTATTTCTTATTTCGAGGGCAGAGAGAATAGATATGCCTACTTACACATGTTGTCGGTGGGATGAACTGAACGGAAGTTTATTGGTATGAAGTCAATATTTGAAGAACTCTTTGCAAATAAATGCTTGCTGTTATGCTACTAGAGTATTTCTGCTGGCTCATCTTAGGCTAGGTATAGGGGCGAGCTTTCTCTGACATGCCAAACAATTTGGATTTTATTTTTTAGGTCAGATCGTTTGGATTCGCTTCTAAAGCCTTGCCATTCGTAGGATCCACGCAAACAAGTCCTTGTTAAATGGGAGGATTGTGACTTCAGGAGTTACGTTTAAGGTCTGGTTTGTGAAATAGGTGAAATATGAGTCACCGGCAAGCCATTGGAATCCATCTTCGTTCGACATGCATTGCTGAAGAAGAATTTATCGGGTGATTTTATCACGTAATGCATGCGTCCATATTCTCGTTTACGTTTGAATCGTAGTTTACATACAAAATACAAATGTTTTGTATAAGAAATACGGTTCGAACGAAAACGAGAATATGGGTGACAGGCCCTTTTCACATGTTGCTCTAGGTGTGTTTACACCACGAACGAAAAGCGTAAAGAATTCAATAAATAACGATCAACTCAAGAGTCTGTGCATCTTTAGATTTGATAATTGAGTTCAAGTTGCAGATGTGCGGACTTTTTAGCTATCCAAGGCCGGTAGTTCGAAGAATTAACAGCAGCAGAGATATGCTGAACACGAACACCTCATGCTAATACTTGTTGAAGGATGGATGCAGAAATTATTTCGAGCAGGTGCTACATACATAGAGAACGTTATTGTGACTTTTCCCCCGTTCAGATCAAAGAAGATGAGAAATCGAATTTCCAAGTATCGAGTACAATTGACGGGATGATACCATAGAGGTAACTCTAAGACCAGAAGGTCCCGAAGAAACGAGCTCAACTTTTTGGCTCAGCTCTGGTACTATCTCCGGTCCCAAGCTAATCGATGCACCCCTCGAAACATAGGAAAATCCACGAACCCCTCATTTTATCTGTCAATCTTTCATCGCGAATCAAAACAAACATAGTGTAGTACTGGAATTTATACTAGAATGGGATACGTTAATCGATTATTTGGCAACCCGGTATTTTGACAACTCTTGATTTTGTTTTGTTTTTCGAAACCCGAGAACTCAATTGACGACGACGATTTTTGGTGGCCGGAGCCGGAAAGCGACAGCAGTCAAGACAGTGGTGGACGTTTTGTGGTAGTCACGACTGTCGGATCTTCGGAATCGGAAGGTGCTAAGCGCAAAGCCATTCCAAGCGATGAACAGACGAAGAACGCCAACGGAAGATCAAAGCCATGAAGCAGCTGTACAAGCCGCCGACGGTAGAGGAAATCAATCGGTTGAAGGAAACGGAATATTTCTACCACTCGGTTTTCACGTGCAGGGAATCCATTCCACGAAATACCTGCTGTTTTTAATCTGTGCGTTCAAATCGCCATAGCTTAGGTAGTGAGCTTCGGAAGCAAATTTCGTGTTGTTGATAAACACTTAGCGTAGCGTACGATGGTGGGGGAGACTTTGTGCGATGGAACGACGGAGAACGGGTTCAAGATCCTATCCGGGTATTCTTCTCGAATCTTCGAGATCAGTACCGTGTCCATGTCTGTGGAGAGGAAGGTATTTTTGCTACTGAATTCCGCTAACGTTACAAAAGATTTAAAATTTACCTGAGCCAGTTCCACCGCCGAGCGAGTGAGTAAGCTGAAAGCCCTGCAAGCAATCGCAACCCTCGGATTCCTTACGGACAACATCCAGCACATCAGGTGTCCAAATGGTCCCGCTCGGACCGAATCCATAGTTCCCGGCTCAAGGTTGATCAGAACCGCTCGTGGGACGTACTTTCCTCCAGTCACAGGAGTCTGAGTAACGACTTTAATAACGGAGCTGGATCCGGTAATGTTGAGATTGATTGAGTGGTGTTGCTTTGCAAGCGATTGCTCTGATTTTTTCATGTAGCTACTTCTTCGGACAGGCAATAGGATGTGCGCTGACTTTATTTTGTGGAATTCAATTCGATTTTGGAGAATAACTGGCGGGACTTGATGAAGATTCACGGTTGTGGTTTGTAAAAATTGGATTGCATTGTTGCAACATCAATAACAAATTTTAAAACATGCACACTGCGCAGGGGCAGAAAAAGTTCAGTGTTGCCAGTAACTTTAAAGATCATAAAAATTGTAACCATGGGTGCCAGACAGCGCCAATGATTGCGCCCGGGTGTGCCCAAGTTTGATTTTGGCACACTGTGTAGAGTGACCAACCTCTTGGTGGGTGACCAAATTGTCCCACTTTCCCCTAGTCAACGCAAACGTTGTTAAGACACCGCAATCAGTTTCAAAAGAACAGCTTAACAATCAAATTCATTAAATGTTGAAGTTTAAAAATTACCTGATTTTAGTAAGTCTAGGATCTCTAAATATTCAATGTCTTGAAGATTTGTATTCCATGTACAAGTTCAAGATATTGAAAATTTTCCAAAAATGATTTATTTCAACTTTGTAATTAACTTTCTAAAAGATTAGAGATCTCCAGTGAAGTCCCATTAACTTCACAACAATTGTAGGAACTTTACAGAAGTTCTGATGAATGAAAGGAAATGCTGAAAATTTCAGTGAAGCTTCATAAACAATCTGCGGGGACATAAATATAAGGAACTTACTAGAAGCTTTAGTGTGATTCGCTGTGACATCCTTATTCTGGGAACCACTTCGAAACATTAGGTGCATAAATATCCGCTTCTACGGCACGGGCAACATTCAAATTGTTACTCCACGTTTGCTGCACTGCAGCATACATGGTAGCAATTTCAGGTGAAATGGGGCACCGATTTCCGAGATTTGTGTAATTGAAAATTCGAAGTGGAAATGCAGTTATAGGCTAAGTAGCGGTCATTTGTGGACTCTACAAGGAATCTCCTTAAGGACCTCAAAGACACCGTGAACTCTCTGGAAGAAAAAAATATTTCAAAAATCAGTATCGCTGAAACACCCACCAAACGAAAGCTTAGGATCACCCCTTTCATATCCCAAGTAACATTGCAAGCTTTATAGAGGTTTTATAGCATTCTACAAGTCAAAATCATGGTCTACAGAATTCTCATAAAACCAAAATTGTTTCTTGGGATGAGACACTAGTATCAAAATGTTCTATCGGGGGTTCTAGAACAATTTTTATTGCTTTTGTATTTTTCAGTGTAAATCACGTCCAAAAATTGACTCTCCCGGCCATTGAAACCCGAAAAAAAAAATGGAAAAATTACCCCCGATAAAACATTAAGGGTGATTTTTCAAATAGCCGTATCAGCTTTCGTAAACAAATATTCGTCCACGCAAACTATCACCACCATCAGGTAGAGTAAAGTTTCCCAAAATTATGGTGCTGTTAGTTTGCGTGGGCGAGCAACGAGTTTCGACAAATTGACGTTTGAGTCTTTGTTTACAAAAGCAGATACGGCTATTTGAAAATTTACTCAATGATATGATAAAATGATCAGTAGGCTGATTTGACAGCACGTCCCCCTCCAGCTTTTTACTGTGGCCCTAAGGATATTGTCTCAGTCGTGGATGATAAAATAGATCAATACGATTTGGAGAATCTCAGGCATAATATTTGATAACGGCACAAAAGCATTTGTAAACAAACTTTCTAAAACCCTTTACATGCGAATTAAAGTACGCCCACGCAAACCAACAACATCATCGGATAGGGGCATCTATCACCTTTCCGAAAGTGGTATTGGTTTGCGTGGGCGTACTTTAATTCGTGTGCAAAGGGCCTTAGAAAGTTTGTTTACAAATGCTTTTGTGCCGTTATCAAAATGTTATATCTGATCTGTCCGGTAGTAATTTATCAGACCGGAGTCCCTTGAAGAGCTGGATCTATTAAAATAAAACTCATCAGCAATTAGAAAGCATTCATTCTTGGAATGTAATTAGGATATCAGCAAA